TGAACTAGTAGAAGAAGTATTCTAACATTAAGTTTTACTTCCCAAGTTGGTTAGTATGAGTAATGTTTTTCACGTCTTGATGATACGTATATACGTTAGCAATCCAAATTATGTGCTTTAGCACAATGAGATTTAGATTTAGTAAATGTTAAATTACGAGGAATAGCCGGTATCAGTTTTAGACCAAAAGGTTCATTGGCTAAGTTATCGAGATATTCCCCTCGTTTGTATAAAATGGAATTGCCACAGAGAATAAGATGCCATTTGGGAGGGATAAACTGATGTTAGAGTTTTAGATTTTAAAGTTTTTGATATATACTCAGATAATATATATCCCAGTTTTAGTATTTCCGAGGACGGAAATAGTTTTAAGGGGGGTAGAATGTAATATCCCATTCAGTTATTAGTAATAAGTATCAGTTTATTTCCAAGATTGAGCTATTTTGAGGCTTAAAAAGGTAAAATTTTAAGTTTTAAAGTCACACGGGTCGTGTGACAAGCCACACGGGTCGTGTGGCTCAAGGCACTATTCAAGTTTAGCTTCGGTTTTTTCACACGAGTCGTGTGACTTAAGTGACACGGGTCGTGTGAGTTCACACGGATAGTGTGACTCAAGTGACACGGGTCGTGTGGCGTCACACGTGTCGTGTGACTTGTGACACTGGTCGTGTGACCGACAAAATTTCAGATTTTTATGATTCGAGTTTGATGCCAACTAAAGTGTATTTTGAGTAATTAAATATGCTTAGCTGATAATTTGAAATGTTTGGTAAGGACTTGTTTAAGTGATTAATTTTTACAAGTTTAAATAGTTTAATTTGTTAATTTCTTCACTCCAAATATTTTATTCCAAAGTTTTGGCTATAAATAGAGGCTTCAAAAATCAGATTTTTACACCAAAGTAAAGTATCAAAGTTATATTGAGAGGTCAAGTGAAGATTTTGAAGGAGAAGTATTTTTGGAGTAAAGGATTTTCAAGATAATTCAAGTTAATTCAAGTTCCTATCAAGTCTTTCAAATTTCAAATTTCAAGCCCTTGAAGGAGGTAATTTATGCTTGTATTTGATGATTGAATCATGTTATTAACAAATCATGATTAGTATAAGTGATTCTTGTTAGAATTTAAGTATTTGATATCACGCATGAGTTATAAGTTGAGTAATGATTTAGTTTATGTTGGCATAATAGTATCCATTTCATGTTATTGATATGAGTTATCATGATGAGAAGTTGATAAAGTTATAAGTTGATAGCTTCATATGATGTGTTATTCATGTTAAGTGTAAGAGTATGAGTTTCACAATTGATAATGAGTAAATTGATAAGTTTAGCATCAAAATGTTGATAAGCATGCAATTTCATAAATTGTGCAAGTTTAGCTTTAACATGTTGAGTGAACATGTTGATATCATAATTTAATGTTATGATTGAGTTATAAGGATGAGCAAGTTTAATTGTTATAAATCATGAGTTAAGTTTGATGTTGGTAAGTTGAATATGTTGACTTATGTATGTGAATTTGAGTTATTTCACTTACAAGATTTGCAAGCCAACATCTAAGTTATAAGACATGATTTATGTGAGTATTGATTGAGTTTTAGTTGAATGTGTTAAGAAGACAATTCTATGAATTGTTTCAAGAATAGTATATTGATTTTATAATATGGTTTTGATGAGTTTTAAGTTACCATTTTTATTTCTAAGAAAGTTTAAGATGAGGTTTGAATCATGAATTTATGTATGTGGAATTTAGTTTATTTTCACTTTTAAGTTATTACATGGTATATGAGTTTATACTAACATCTAAGTTTCAAAATCAAGATTCATATGATTTAAGTTTGGTATTAAGTAAAAGTTTAAGAATTTAAGATGTTCAATGAATTAATGTTCATTTGAGCTATAGCCGGAATTATCTTTAAGATTCGGATAAGTTATCAGTTAAAGTTAAGAATCCCAAAGTACTATTGAGAATACTATGAGCATAGTACTTAGTATATTTGTTTATATTTTTATGTAGTTGTAGATACAGCTACCAGTACAACCCTTACAGTTTTCAAAAGTTTTCAAGAAGAAAAGGTGGGAACCCAGACTGGGTAGTA